GCCCCTGCCCCTGCCCCTGCCCCTGCCCCTGCCCCTGCCCCTAGGAAATCTGATGCTCAAGCCTGTTGGAAGTAGCCTAGGGTAAAAGTGACAAAAGCAGAGTAGATGATACAGACCTGTCATGCCCATTGCCTGCAGATCCTGAAGTGTCACACTCAAAGTCTCTGTGGGATTGGTTCAGCCTTTAGTGTAGGTTGGGGAGGGGTGGCCCCCGGGCTTGTGGGATGGGAGCTGGGAAAGAGGGTAAGGCCCTCTAGAGTCACAACCCGGCTCCTCCCCCCTGCAGGCCTCACAGACCCCAACAGCTACTACCTGTCCTGCGTCTGGAGCTTCATTGCCTTCAAGTGGGCCTTCCTGCTCAGCCTCTATGCCCACCGCTACCGGGCTGACTTTGCTGACATCAGCATCCTCAGCGATTTCTGACCCGGGGGGTGAGGTCTCTGCAACCTGGGGTCCTCAGGACCTGGACTCAACTTCTGAGACATCAGGTGGGACTGTCCCACCCCTGCAGTACCCCAGAACTATGGCAGAAAATACACAGCAGGAAGACTTTGGTCTCCAGGGAAGGTGTTCTGTCCACTTTAGGGGAGACCTGGGTATGGGAAAGGGGTCCTGCCCTGTTGCTCCTCATTAGCCTGGCTGGAGGGAAGCTTTTCAAGTGGATCTATTTTCTTAGCACCCAGTGAGGAATCTTTGTAAGCAGGGCCAGGGGCAAAGAGGCCTTGACCTATGCCTGAGGGCAGGTGGTTTGGTCCCTGCTGCCCCAGTAACTCTCCCTCAGGCCAGACTGGAAACCTGGGAAGGTCAGGTCAAGTGAAGTGACTCTAGTAGAGGCCTCATTCCCCAAATCCAGCATCTCATCCTATTGTTACCCCAAGAGTCTTGGGAACTTGGGCAGAAAATTCAGTATCCCTGTTCCACCCAGAGCTGGTCTCCCATGAGTGTGCTAGTCAGTCATCTCCTTCACCACCCAAGTCCTCCCTCTTATGCGCACCACACACCAGAGCAGTACTCCCCAAATGAAGTCAGACTAAGGATCTTGGGGAAGGTTCTCCTGCCCCCAGAAGGGCTTGAGTAGGGGGCAGCATGGTGTAGGCAGAAAGGACCCCTCAGACCTGTGCCTAAGCACCTCCAGCCCTGCATTTCCACTCTGCCTTCTCACACCTGCCCCGGTCACACCCTGATCACCGGAACACCCCGCTCTATGAGATGCCCCACCGACTCCTGCCCCTTACCTAGAGCTTGTATCTTTTTTATCTCCCTTTTGAAAGATAAACCTGCTTTCTGCCCATACACTGGCCCAAGGGCTCACCTGACTCGGGAGGGAAGGGGCTACTGGTACATGTGTCGTTTTATGTTAGGTTGCCATTTTGCACGGTCTACCCCTTTCCTACCTGTGTCCACCTCCTCAGCTCTTTGCCTTATCTGTGTCACTGTCACTTTAGCAGAATACAGCGACTCTTTGTATCAAACAGTCTCTGGTTGTTTCTTGAGGGAAGGGGCGAGAGCAGTGGCGGGAAGGCTGGTGGTGCTGGGTCTCTAGTTATCTCATGAAGCCATTTCTTTAGCTCACCATGTGCCCTGGTGGGCAGGGAGAGTTTGGTGTCTCAGGGGCTGGAGACCCTCTCCCTCTGGTCCCCTTGCCATAGGGGAACCTACTGGCTTGGCTGTCCTTCTCTGGTTCTCAGCACACCCTGGCCAGGGTGAGGATGCCCATGAATACAGCCTCAACCACCCCTATGGGATTTAGTGTCTGTCAACTAAGAGGTCAGGACAGATGGGAAGGGGGATAAACCCACTTCCCTTCATACTCTCCCAGGCTGCGAGGGCTTGGGGCCAGGTCTGAGGCAATGAGGCTCTACTCTTGCTGGCTGGAGAAGCCAGGCCCACTCAAAACCATGGAGAACAGGCACTGGCAGCCCTGGCACTATTGTCTCTGCTCACACTGGATGAGCTTGTCCGGGCCTGTGGCCTCACCCATTCTCTCTGAGGTTCAGTATACACTTAAGAAGTCATGGTGCATTATAGCAGGAACCGTAAACAGTGTCTATTTCTGGAGCCTTTAACTGGTAAACAGAGGCCGTAAAAGGTGACATGACATACCTGATCTTCCAGCTGGGACTGGAACCAGGTAAGTCTGATTCTCAACTCTCTGGGGATGCGTTAGTGAGCCAGGTCTGAGTGACTGTATATCCCCTATACTCCCACACTGGGCCCTCTGTCTATGGACTCAGCCCAAAGCTGCCGCCTCTTTATTACCCCAGGTGGGGCAGGCAGGGGCAGCTAGGGCGTGTCAGAATGGATTCTTCCTGCAGGGCAGCTGCCACAAAGGGCAAGGAGCTGGAGGGGGGCTGGTCCCTTCTCCACAGCAAAATCAGATGCACGCTGTGCTATGGAGCTGTGTGCCCACTGCACACCCCATCCCGTCACGTGCACCTTTAAAGCAAATAAAACATTTATTCAGATTTTTTTCCTTTTTTTTTTTTTCCTCTTTTTTACAAAAACATGCATACATACACAGGGTATGGTAGTCCTAGGGAAGACGCGCGCGCACACACACACTCACACACTCATTCACACACACACTCAAATACTTTCCTTCTTGACTCTGGGCCGGGACCCCAGAAGCCTTGACTTTGCCATGGCAGCCTCCCCTCCCTCCCTTATGTCTTGTATCTACTCTCCCACCCCCTTTCCCCTCAGCCAAGCTAGTCCTATGTGGGGCAGGAGTCAGAGCTGGGGTGGGGAAGACCCCAGAAAGAGAATACTCCTGGAGGGGGCAGTGACCAAGGGATCCCTGGGGGTCACACTGTGCTTCTGAGGGGAGATGAGGGTTTGGCACCATTGGATCAGGAAGCACAGAACTCCAAAAGCACCCGTCTCCTCCACCAGGGCACTGAGATGGTCGACGTAGGGTGGCCTCTGGCAGGGGCAGGCACCAGAGGGGAGGCCTAGGGATGACTGCTCCTGAGGGAGCTTTGTCTCACTGCCCAGTGGTGGTGGCGGGGGGTTGGGGTGGCTTCCATAGTCATTTGAGTAAACAGGCAAGAGGAGGGACTCCCCCTGTACTCAGGGATATAGGACCCCTTGGCTCCTCCTATCCGCTCCCCAACCCCCACTCAAGCCCTCAGAGCCTAGGAAGGGCTACCCTGGCTGAGGCCAAGTTCACATTTCTGTGTGGAGCCTGGGGCTGTGTGCAAAGTCCGGGGTCTGCAGCGCCAAGAATAGTGGTTACAGGTAGGCCCAACTGAGCCAGTCCTCCTCTGTGCAGTCCTGAGGAATGGGGGCCCAGCAGGGGCCTGGACCCCACAGGGGCAGACTCTGTTCTTGGAAGAGCCCTACTGGGGCCTGGCCCCTGCCCTGCCTGCCTCCTCAGGGTCCTCTTTGGTCCCTATCTTAGACCCAGGGGCCTTCTCAGGTTCCTTGGGGTGACTATCAAGGGGCTGTTCTCTGGCCACAACTACCTGCCCAGAGGATCTCCGAAGATCCCAGGAACAGGTACTATTGCCAGAGATAAGAAGAGAACCAGGTCTGAAGTGCAGGGTAGGCCGGCAGAACTGTTCCAAAGCCTTAGAGATTCATAGGTTCTTCCTCTTCCACCAGCTGCTCTGAGGGCCTGGGGGAGGACAAGCATGGGGTTGCTGGAGGGCCAGCTGCAGAAAGGGCCTCAGCCCACCTTCCCAAGAAGACTAAGAAGGCTGGGGTGGCTATGCCAGAATCTGGGATCCTCATGTTGGGAGGGCCCAAGGGGTAGAAAGGCTGCGGCTGGGGGTCTGACATTACCTGTCTTCAGCCAGGATGCCCACGGAGAGGGATGCCAGTGCAGTCACTGCCTCCACTTCTTCTGTGTCGGCTCCTGGCACCCTGGGCACCCAGGACTCTGGACAGGAAGCTAGGCGCTGCATGCAGCCCCAGTATTTACCTGGGACAAGAAGGCAAGTCAGAAAGGGTTGGGGAAAACAAGTCGTCCAGCATGCCTCACCACATATCCTAGACATACTGAGACTGCATATCTCGGGCCAGGGTCCGAGAGTAGCAGGCGGGTTCTCAATCCGGGGCCAGTCCTCTCACCTACTTCTACCCTCGACACAATGCCTTCCTCAACTTGGCCTCCCCAGTCCTAACAAGGTGAGCAGAGCAGATTTAGCATGGGTATGAGGTGGCCTTGTAGGTGCCCAAGCTATTCTCCCACCCCTTTGGCTGAAAAGTTGCCTCTGGCCTATTCCCATAGGTGCAGGGTTCCTAAGAGCGCTGATGGGGCCCACTTTTACAGACAGGGACTGTATCAGAAAGACCTCACAGATCCCGACCCTGGTCTCCCAGAGCACAGGGTTCCACTCACATCAGCCCCAAGCAAGGTCAATCCAGCACACAGGACAGGAGCAGGTGGGAAGAGGGAAGGGCACAGCATGGGGAGAGCTGACCGTCCTCATGGCTGCTCTGCATGGCCATCGGCAAGCCACTCACCACCCAGGACTCCCACGGGGACATGCCTACCCTGCCTACTGTTGTGAGAAGTGAAGTTGGGAACATGCCCAGAGCCTGGCCCAGCGTGAGGCCTCTGTACAGAGTCCCAGCAGCGTCTTTATGTTACCTACACTTCCCCATTGAGCCCCAGATATGAGGAAATCTAATTCATTCATTTTTGTGTCCCTAGCATGGATCATGGGTCTTTACACAAAGTGCTCCACAGATGCTGAGTTGAAGTTGAAAATTTAAAGTGCTTTCCAAATGTGGGATTGTTCTAAGACCCAGCCCCCAAAGCGGGCAGAGCTCCCGAGACCCTTGCGGCCAGGACTGAGGGTCAATACGGGAACCAGCACTTTTAGCAAGCGAGGCCTGAGTGTAACTGTTCGCCTGGCCCTGGCCTACAGCTGTGACTGGAGATGGGTGGTCAGTCCTGCCTTGAAGAGGCCACTGTCGGTGGTCCCTGCTAGGTCCCTCTGGGGGGCTCTGAGGGTATGCACACCTGGGTGGCTGCCCTACCATTCCAGCTGAGGTAACTTATAGGAAACCTACTCCTGACCAGCCCCAGGGTTCTTGGCCTGGCCTGGCTGGCAGTGGAAGTTCTGGGGTCTGGGTCACTGGGGGTAGCACCCCTGAGGTTCTCCCAAGTCTGGGGTCAGCAGGGTGTCCTCTCTCCACACTCACTGTGCACCCGGATCACAGCTTCCAGAGAGCGGATGGCGTTGAGGTTGGGTTTCTGTTTCCAGCCTTCTTCTGAGAGGGGATCCACCTACGGAAGAAAACAGTACATCAATAACGTCTCGGACACCCATAGCCCAGCTCTCTCCCACCCCAAGGGCCCTGGCTTTCTGGTCACAAATAGGCATGTGCTTCTGGCTCTGCCTAGGGCAGGAGGTGCTGCCTCCAGACCTCACCTGGGGAAGAGGCAGCATTCTCTCTGTCCCCTTCATTCTAGACCTGGCTACCCCCGCCCTGTGAGCCCTCATGGAGGCACCCCCATTTGTCTCCTCTTTGGGGCAGTCCTGGGAGGGCCACGCTCCTTGTCCCACAGAGGCATGGATGGAGGTGAGCGGCTCACCTTGTTACCCAGAAGAGCGGCCACACAGGCCTCGGAGGCGTCACAGATGGCTGTGAGGTCATGGCCACCCTCCAAGGCCAGCACCACCGCACCTCCTGCCAAGCTCATCAGCTGCTGCGTCATGTACCCAAAACCTGGAAGGTTGGTGGGGAGCAATGGGAGGGAGTAGGGGTGGAGGAGAGGTGGACCCCCTCTACCTATTGTCCTGTTATGTCCCTGCTTGCTTCATGAGAGAGGACCCTGGGCTGTACTAGGCTAGGAGAACCCAGGGAGTTCCAGGGCCAGCTGCCACGCCCCCATCCTCACACTGATGGTCCTGGCCAGACACGGTCACCTTCCCCTCCCAGCCTAGCCCTCAGTCCCCTAGGCTGGGCCCTCCTTACATTTGGCGGAAACATGGTAGCCACCCAGTGGGGCTGGGTGACCCTCGGCAGCATCAAACCCAGCCGACACCAGAACCAGGTCCGGAGAGAACTCCTGGGCGATGGGCATCACGACTATCCTGTGAGGGTACGGAAGGAGGGCTCACCACACTGTAGGGCTGCTGGGACAGAGGCAGGGGCCCTGCCTGGTGCCGGCCCTCTCCGCCAACTTGACTATGGGGCACCCTACTCTTAAGACTCAAGACACCCCACCTCTCAGAAGGATTAGTGGATCCCTCTGACTTCCTTGACCTTGGCTGGCCACTATGTCCCTGGCACAGCCTAAAGACTCAGCCATCGAGTGTGCTTAACTGGTGTAAGACAGGAAGGAGCCAAGGATGGGGTACCAAAGGGAATGAAAGAGGAATATGTGTGTTGTGTGTATATAGAGGGCAGTGGGCAGAGTCACAGAAAAGGGACAGTCACTAAGCCTCAGGGACTAGAAATACTCGGTATTTAGTTGCCACCCATTCTGGACTGAGTTGACCACACCTTGCCATTCACCAC